ATATATATCATGTCTACAATGAAAAATTTGTGCCAAGGAAAAGTAATGTGGTGTGCTAGGAATAAAAAAACCTAATTTTTAATCTTTTTTCTCCCTTATGACCTTGGCAATACAGTTTGATGAATCAAAATGTATTAATGACCAGAGTTCTATGGACATGTAACTATGAACACCTTTCTTTGTTCTCAAGTGAACTTCCCACATGAAATAAAGAAACACACACGTGTATAAACTTATAAATGAAAACTATACAACAATGTGCTCTAAAGACACAAATGTTAAGGAAACAGTATTTGAACAAGATCTTCAAAAAGTCCTATTTTTACAAAGGAAGAAATCAATAACGAGTGAGTAAAGACATTGTAAAAAGAGAACCCATCACAAGCAAGGCACAGATAGAGAATGTGTGTGACATACAAATTCAGGCAGATCAGTACAGAAGGTTCTTGACTTACAACGGGTTGATTTGATTTTTAATTTTATGATGGTGCCAAAGCAATATGCATTCAGTTTGCTCTTCCACTTAAGATGGGTTAGGGCCCGGTAAACTCATTTTAAGTTGAAAACATGGCAAGTGGAACTTTTTCAAAGTACCATATTTTCAATTTATGATGGGTTTATTGGAAAAGAACCCCATCGTAAGTTGAGCAGCACTTGTATTTGAATGTGATTTTGCATTCAGAATGTATCCTTTAAAACCATAGAAAGCTCTGAGGCCAGAGAATGCCATGATCATACCTGTTCTTTGATAGCAATTGAATGCAGGGGAGAAATTGGAAGCACAAACACGCTTAGAGGGTTTGACCTGTGCTACTTGTGAGAGGATCGTAGAGAAGATAGAAGTGGGGAACAGCAGAGGTAGGGTATCCCTCATCCTCAGAACACTTGGCGTGGTAGTGGTGAAAGCACACAAGTCCACTCACTACAGGCCTACAGTCCTTATGCATCATCTGAAACTTTTTTTGTACGTGTATTATGCATTTCCTGTGCGTCAGGCATCATGTGACGTGTTTTTCAGGCATTGGCCCAGTCCTTACATCCAGCATGTCTTGACCTGCATTGGACCGTATGGGTGGGGAGAATAGCTAATTCATCCTGTACTTTCTCATAGTAGTCTTTACAGTCTTTATTAAGAAGGTTGCATAAGACAGCACTGGGAAGGCATTGCACGAGTATTGTACAGATCAATTGTTTAATGAATGAAATTATGTTTAAATTCTCAAGGAGTTTGGAAGTTTTGGCAACAAGTAGTAATCGCTATGCAAAGGGAGAGAGGAAGCAAAGATTCACTGTTTCAATCGTAAGTCATTCCAGCACTTTGGGAGGCTAAGACTAAAGGATTGTTTGAGCTCAGGAGTTTGAGACCAGCCTGGGCAATAGAGCGACACCTTGTCCCTACAAAAATAAAAATAAAAAAATTAGCCAGACATGGTGGCATGTGCCTGTAGTCCCAGCTACTTGGGTTGCTGAAGTAAAAGGATCATCTGAGTCCAGCAAGTCAAGGCTACAGTAGCCGTAATTGTGCCACTAGACTCCAGTTTGGGCAACAGAGACTCTGATCCCCCCCAAAAAAGTAATTTGATTAAGTGCTAATTCTCTACCATATCTTTTTGTGAACAATAGTCCTATCAAGTAGATGCCTTTATTCTTGTCAAACTACACCCTATAAGTATGTTTTGAGGGAATTAAGCACAGAAAGTTTAAGGAACCTCTCAGATCCCACAGTTAGAAGCATAGAGCTGGGATTTGCATCAAGGCACTCTTTGCACTCAGGTTCACTATAGCAACTACCAAAGAGCCATAAACTCCCCAGCAAGCAATTGCTGATGCAGGACAGCTAGGTGAACAGTCGAGGAAGGGCCTGACGGAGGAATCGGAAACATATATAATTTTTATAGGGCATTAGTATTGGTGCTCACTTTAAGAAGTGGATTTCTATTTTTCATCTAATTTGAACCTAGCAGTTTCATAGTATTTCAATCAAAGCAATCCTGTACAGATGCTTCAAAAATCTTTGCACTATATATTCTGAACTATTGGATGTATAAGACCCAGTCACCAGGTGATCACTATAAAGAGACATATTCTAAAGTAAAAATAAAATAAAATCAATAAATAAAAACTTCCCATTGTCTTATTTTCTTCATTTGTTTCTGAACATGAGTGGGGCTGCACATGTGACTTATTTAAAATCATTTATTGTTATTAGGGCTGCCTTTCAGGTGGACCACTCTGTTTGACTTCATGTTTCAAAACCATGCTTTATTCAAGTATCTTACCACCACTCTAGGAAAGGAGTTCTATTATTATTCCCCATTTAAGATGACCAAAACAAACACAGAGAAAGTATGTAACTTAACCCATACCACACAGTATCATAGTCTTTAAAACAGCAGCATTATATAAATGTGGTGCTAACAATGCGCCAAAGAACTTGATAGATTCTAAAAGATAGATTCTAAAGAAGGGACTCACTTCTCTAAATTAGCAAAGCATAATCCCTTAAACTGATATCAGACCCATTATTAACAAACTCACACTAACTTTTAAAATCTGCCTAATTGACTTTACCATATAAGTAGTAGTATACAATAATTTTGCACATAATTTATTAATAATAACTCTGGGAAATTGTATTTTTGACTGAGCAGTAATCACTAAAAAGATAAGCTGGTTATCAGATATTACCCAATGTTAATCCTGAAAAATAATTGTTATGAATCAACCTTGTACATTCAAGACAGGAACATTAACAATGACAAATTTTAAATGTCCACACTTAAAATGTACACGTTTAGTATACATAGAGAATTCATTGACTGAAATATGCCAGAAAACCTGGTCTGGAATTTGATGAGTTAAGTTTCTTTTTTTTCTTTTTGAAGTTGGAGTCTCATTCTGTTGCCAAGACTGGAGTGCAGTGGCATGCTCCCAACCACCGCAGCCTTGCAGCCTTGGAGAAGGAAGTTCTGGCATCCTTCTGTCTCAGTCTTCCAAGTAGCCAGAACTCCAGGCGCGCGCTACCACACCCAGCTAATTTTTGATTTATTGTAAAGACAAAGTCTCACCAAGTTGCCTGGCTGGGTCTTGAACCCACAGGCTCAGTCAATCCACTCACCTCAGCCTCCCAAAGCACGGGATTACAGGCTGAGCCACCGAGCCCGGCCATTTTTTTTAAAGTTTCTTCTCGTCTAACTTTTAAAGATTTAAATAGTTTGGCCCATTTCCACATTTATTAAAACTGTAATCTTAAAAAAAAAAACTGTACAAACACATAGATATGACTAGCCATCTTATGTAAAAAGTTATGCAATAGTTATCCTAGAGAACTTTCAAGATCCCTGTATTTCAAAGCTTATCTCAAAAACCATCACTGTTTTGCATTTATAAACTGCATCCTTACGTTAAAGATAAGAACTATAAATGTGCTATCATATATGAAATATCCACATCCCAATTCTTTTTTTTTTGAGTTGGAGTCTCACTGTCACCCAGGTTGGAGTGCAGTGGCATGCTCACGGCCACCGCAGCCTTGACCTGCTGGGCTTGGGAGATCCTTCTGCCTCAGTCTTCCAAGTAGCGGAACCACAGGCATGAACCACCATGTCTGGCTGATTTTTTTATTTATTGTAGAGAGAAGGTCTTGCTATGTTGCTCAGGCTGGTCTCGAACCCCTGAGCTCAGGCAATCCTCTTGCCTTGGCCTCCCAAAGTGCTGGGATTACAGACTTGAGTCACCACGCCCAGCCCCACATACCAATTCTAATTACACTATTCTTTTTGTTAACATAGAATGTTGCTTTCAATAAAAGCACGACATAGTTCTACAGTTTCAATGGCAAAATTAAAGCCTTTTTTGTTGAGAAGGTAATGAAGCAATCACCAAGATATTTGAAACAATAAAGTAAACATTACATTGATTTTAAGAAAAACCACAAATACATACACTTACATAAAACAAAAAAAGAAATAATTCACTTTATGAGAGAAGAGAGACAGCTTTTAAAAATATTTAGCTTCTTCACCCAAGTAGAAATTTTAAAGACAAAGAAAGAGAAACACAAAGAAAGAGAGGGGAGGGGGAAGGGTGGGGGGAGAGAGACAGACAATTTGGAATTTCCAGGAGTAAAAATACATTCTGAAAGTATTTTGAAATCCAAATATCACTGCTGTAGATTCAGTGCAGGTTTTTTTGTTTTTGTTTTTGTTTTTTAAGTTGGAGTTTCACTGTCACCCATGCTGGAATGCAGTGACATAATCATGGCTCACTGCAGCCTCAACCTCCTGGGATCCAGTGATCCTTCTGTCTCGGTTTCCCAAATAGTTGGGACTACAGGCCCATACCTCCAGGCCTGGCTATTTTTTTTATATTTTGAGAGATGAGGTCTTGCTATGTTGCCTATGCTGGTCTTGAACTCCTGGGCTCAAGCAATTGTCCTGCCTCAGCCACCATGCCTGGCCAGTGCAGGATTTTAAATAGAATAAAACCTAAAACTAAACTCCACCGAAATGGAGATGTAATAACAGTCAATGCCTGACTAGAAATTTCCCCTTGCATTTGGAGAAAGGTCATGATACATGAATAAAACAACAGCAAGAATGCAGTATATACACTTTAGAATGTTTAGGAAAACAGTTTCAAAGCACCACATGAACAATTAATTCATCAGTTACCTGGAGATAATGTTAAAGGAAGGTCTCTACAATTTTCTATTAGGCACTTCAAGTAGCCTATAATATACACTCTAATTAATTACATTTTGTTGCACTATACATTGGCCATTGTCATTATATCTAAATGTGACCGATAATGCACACTTTCTTAATTTCTCTATCTGTAGGTCTCCTTGGGTGGAATATAAGTAGTAATTGAAAACTATGCAAAAATTGAAAAATTTGCATACTTAGTTACACCATCTCTTTATAAATGTGTGTTTGGTCAAAAAAATTCCATCAAAATAAAGGAAGCAAAATCTAGAACATAGCATCTTCCATTTTTTAAAAAAATCCTAGTTTGTAATTTTTTTTAAAAAGTAATAAAGCTTGTGTAGACGTATTAGAACACACTTATCGCTTTATGCACACTTCTGCTAGTGTCCTGAATTTGGGCTCCAAATGATTGAGAAATTCAAGCCCATCTTCTTCTTGTCTTTCACTGCAACACCCTACAGACCCAGCCACCGAGCCTCTTCCTTCATAGTTGTACATCAGGACGTAGTCTTGGGCATGCTGATGATTTTCATCCTGATTACACAGATGCACCTTCTGCCAAGGGGAAAAACAAACAGTTTTTATTATTATTATTTTAAACACCAAAACTTATTAACATAAAAATAAGTGCTTTGATTTACCTTTCATTGTTTAATTTTTAATCAGAGTGTGTCCTCTAATGGATTCCTACACATAAAAAATGCACATGATTGGTCTATATCATAAATCACACTATAAGTTCAGTATATAGCATGTTTCTAAAAGTTACACATGTGGTAGCAAGTATACAAGTGTTCATTTTAAGTCATCATTACTTTCCCTTTCAAAATCATAACTGAACATGAAATGCATCCACATTTAAATGAAACCCAAATTGATGTGGGCTCAATTTTTCCCAGATAGGCATAGAACTGGGCCCACACTTTTGGTTTCTAAGACACGAGTTGTCAGATGTGAAATATTAACACAAAGTCATGAGAGAGTAATTTTTTTAGATTTTTTTTTTTGTTTGTTTTTTGAGTCAGGTTCTCACTCTGTTGCCCAGGTTGGAGGGTAGTGGCACAATCACAGCTCACTGCAGCCTGGAACTTCTGGGCTCAAGTGATCCTCTTGCCTCAACCTCCCAAGTAGCTGGGACTACAGGTGTACACTACCATGTCCAGCTAATTTTTGTATTTCCTGTAGAGACGTGGCCTCACTTTGTTGCCCAGGCTGGTCTTAAACTCTTGGGCTCTACCAATCCTCCCACCTCAGCCTCCCAAAGTGCTGGGATTACAGGTGTAAGTCACCGTGCCAGGCCAGAGAGTAATTGAAATATCATCACAAACATTATTCCAGTAAGAGTATTCAAAGCCAAACAAAATAGGAGGAAAAGTAAATAATCATTTAAATCTGAACAAAAGTAAATCAAAATGGAAGAAAAAGAGTAACATTCCAATGAGGAAATTAATCATTAGTTGAAAATAAAGGTCAAAGTAAACACCAACTTTTGATGACTTATAAGTTTAAAGGAAATCAAAAGAAATATGCAAGACACTTAGGGAAACTCACTTCACAGAGACGGGGCTGGGTATAATTGTGCCACTCTGAGTACATGTATTGGCAGTTGTCCGTCTCCACGTGTCCTCCCCTGCAAGAATCCAGGGTGTGATGGTGCCCGGCAACCCGGCAGCATTCCGAGGTCTGGTGTCCTCCCTTCACCATTTCAATGGTCTCCTGCCCTCCATTTTTGACTCCTGATCCCATGGTGCCACAGGCTCCCTGAGTAGCAGATGTGCCCACAGCATGGGTTGTAAAGCTATTCGTGGAATACTGAAATGACAGAGGGGAACAAAAAATTGTGGGAAAAAAACACAATAACACCATGCTGTTAATGCCATGATTACTTTTGTGCTAGACAGTAAGCTCTCTGAGGGAAGGAGCTAAATCTGTCTTGTCAATCCTGAGTACCTACTATAACCTCAGTATTTAATGTAGTATCTAACGTAAGAAGCAAATTGCAGATGTCAAGTAGTTGGTACCTAGAGATAAATAAGAAAACTTGATGTATATTCCTTCTTTAAAAGCTTCTTGGAATACTGTATAACTGGCCAGTGGCACACGCCTATAATCCCAGCACTTTGGGAGACCAAGGCGAGAGGATTGCTTGAGTCAGGAGTTGAAGACCAGTCTAGGCAACACAGCGAGACCTTGTCTCCACAAAAAGTAAAAAAAATAAAAATTTCCATGCCTTGTAGTGTAGTCTCAGCTACGCAGGAGGCTGAGGTGGAAGGATCGCCTGAGCCCAGCAGGTCAAGGCTGTAATAAATAAGTTGTGATCGTTTCACTGCACTTCAGCCTGGGTGACAGAGTGAAATCCCTGCTCTCAAAAACCAAAAATAAAAAAAAAGAATACTGTATAACTTTAGTTGTTAAATCCTTCCTGCATCCTACACCTCAAAATCAGTGTTATTGTCTCATATGTATTTACCCTGCTTAGTTAAGAACCACTCTCCTTTTCCTGACTAGAGAAGAAACATAAATAATGATCAATATTTCTATCTAGTATCAAGTTCAATTACCCCTCAACTAAATCAAAAAGAATAAAGTTGCCATAAAAATCTTAACTGCAGGGCTGGGCTCGGTGGCTCAGCCTGTAATCCCAGCACTTTGGGAGGCCAAGACAAGAGGATTGCCTGAGCCCGCGGGTTCAAGATCCACCTGGGCAACATGGCCCGTCTCTACAGTAAATCAAAAATTAGCCGGGCGTGGTGGTGTGTGCCTGTAGTTCCGGCTACTTGGAAGACTGAAGCGAAGGATCACCTGAGCCCAGCAGGCTGAGGCTGTGGTGGCCAAGACTGTGCCACTGCACTGCAGCCTGAGTGACAGAGTGAGACTCCAAAAAACAAAATCCTAACTGCAGCAATAAATCCTTATAATCTAAATAAATACTAATAAATTGGACAGGGAAAATAAAAAGAACACCAAAGCTCTGACCATTGAATATGTATGTTGTGTTTCTGAAAACGCTGATATTATTTTAAGTTTTATTTTTTTCAATCTTTTCCTGAATACCATCATGCCTTTGGTTTCTAAATCTTTCCTGCCCTAATCATCAATTATACTTCTATTGGGAATTTACCTGTTCCTCATTCGTATATTAGCCTAGAAAACAAAGTTGGAGTGACATGGTCACTTGCTAGCATTGCTATTGCGTGTATTTGGCCTCTGGCTCTTTCCTAACTCAATTAGAGTCAGAAAGAATCCAATAAAGTTCTTCCCACGATGATCAAAGCTTGTAGTGATTTTACTGCCCGTTGCCAGAAAAAAACTTAAAACAATCATGCTAGTAATCTGTGAATAATTAATGCAACATTTTTACAGTATAAACACCACTCTAAGTATATATGAAAGGCCTAAAGTTGGAACTATGAAGCATTTGAAGCAGAAAGTAATGATGACAAACTGAAGGATTTTCACAATTTTAGTTGTTGAGTCATGGTCTCGCTCTATTGCCCAGGCTGAAGTACAATGGTGCAGTCATGTTCACCACTGCCTCCAACTCCCGGGTGGCAAACAACCCTTCCTCTTCAGTTTCCTGAGTAGCAGGGACTACAGGCACGTACCACCACGCCTGGCTAATTCTTTTATTTTTTAGAGATGAGGTCTCGCTATGTTGCCCAGGCTGGTCTTGAACTCCAGAGCTCAAGGAATCCTCTCACCTCAGCATTCCAAAGTGCAGGGATTACAGGCATGTGCTCCAACACTCAGCCAGATTTTCACTACTAAGTAAAATCTTATTATTAAGTAAATCAAAATACCATATTTCACCATGTAAATTAAAGACCTTTTTTCTGTTCCATGGGACTTATTGCCTAGCATCAAAAGAACTTTATTCAGAAAACATAATTTTAGAAAGAATATGCATTACAGGCTAATTCATCCTTTGTATTTTTTTTTCTTTTTTTTTTTTTTTGAGTTGGAGTCTCACTCTGTCGCCCAGACTGGAGTGCAGTGGCCGCTCCTGGCCACCGCAGCCTCGACCTGCTGGGCTCTGACCATTCTTCCGCCTCAGCCTTCCAAGTAGCCGGAATTACAGGCATGCGCTACCACGCCCGGCTGAATTTTTTTATTATTTATTGTAGAGATGAAGTCTCGCTGCCCAGGCGGGTCTTGAACCCGCGGGCTCAGGCAATCCACTCACCTCAGCCTCCCAAAGGCGCGGGATTACAGGCTGAGCCACCGAACCCAGCTCTTTGTATTTGTTTTAAAGACAGCCTACTTACCACTTTGTCATCTCCAGGAGCTTCTGTGTTTGACACAATTAAGTTCTGCTGGGCTAAATCATCAGGAAATACTTTTGGTTGTTTGGGGGCCCCAGAAACCCCACAGACTAATGTAAATAGGATACCTGGAAGAAGAAAGAAATTGCTTGAGTTTATCATAAAATCATGTAAAGTTGTTAATTTACAGTGATTGATACACAGATAAGTCATAATTTTTTTTTTTTTTGAGTTGGAGTCTCACTCTGTCACCCAGACTGGAGTGTAGTTAACAGCATATATTAATAGAAGACAACTTTTCTGAGCACATAAATGTGACTGCTTGGATCAAAGCAGTATGCAAAAGAAAAGTTTGCCCCAAACAGATGTGCCGCAATTCATGTTGCAAGCTGTATTTCCACATTGAATTGTCTGCCTATGCTAACTGAGAAGACCCTAGAACTGTACCTAAATGCACTTAAAATAGATACATTAAAAATATATTTGTGTGCTAAATAGGAATACAGCTATACACAAATAATCAGCTATAGGTAATAGTGTTGATTTCAAGAATGTATCTTAAAAGTTACTTTAAAGGTTATTACTTGGATTCAAGAAAGGACTTACAGAATAGCAATCCTATGCCCAACAATATTGCAAGGATGGCCCACTTTCCAAGTTTTATTTCTCCATTTCCAATCCTTGGACTGACACGAAGTGTGCAGTCATTTTCAGTTATACAGTCACAGAGCTTGACATTCAGTGCAGTGGTTCTAGCCTGGCCAAGCCTATCGGTGACTCTGATGGGTATTACATATGACCCAATTGGAGGATCATTCCGATAGGAAAGACGTGCTGCTGTATCTGAAAAAAAATAAATAAAGCCAAGATTATAGAACATCATCAATTTCTCCTGAGCATAAATAACTAGCTAACAGATAATCATTTCCCTACAGGTGGATATTCCTGATGGGATAGTGCAACTGCTAGGGGAGTTTAAATGTGAATAGACTTAGTAGTTCTAATCTGTAGCCACTGCAAATACATTGCATTTAAAGTTTGTCTATGTTGCTTCTTATATAAAGGTCTTCTGACTCTTGTCATAATGTTTTTTATTTGTCTGCAAACAGATCCTTCCTATTATAACTAATGGACTTGTTAAGAGATCCATTTTTATCACATTTTTAATATCTTTACACCAATTCATGTATATTTCCTTTTATATACATTTCATCAAATTAATAGTCTGAAATTCTGGGTCTCTCCCTTTACTTTGTTTTTATGCCAAATAAACATAAATACTTACAACTTATTGTCAGAGACTGACTCCAACAACCTAGAACACATTTGACCTTGAATATATTCATAAGTCATGAGTCACACTGCTGTATCTCCTGGTCCTAAGGGACAATAAGACCAACTGCATGCTTCTTAAAATTGATATAGTTTTCTTTAGAGCAAAGCTAGAAAATATCCAGACCAAAGGTCAATACAGATTCTTTCATGGTTCCTGAGTAGTGATTGAGTTTTCTTTTTTCTTTTTTTTAATCCAGTCCTCTTTTGATGGGCAGCACGGTTGGTTCCATGTTCTTGCTATTGAGAACAATGCTGCAATAAACATACGTGTGCAGGTATCTTTTTCATAGAGCGATTTGAGTTCCTCCAGGTATATTCCCAGTAGGGGAATTGTGGGGTTGTATAAAAGGTTGATTTTTAGATCTTTTAGGAATTGCCACCCTGTTTTCCACAGGGCTGTACTAGTGTATTGTGTTCCCTTGCACCTCATCCTCTCCAACACCTGTTGTTATTTTTTTGAGTTGTTGGTGATGGTCATCCTGACTGGAGTTAGGTGGTAGCTCAGTATAGTTTTAATTGGCATTTCTTTTTTTTTTAGTTGGAGTCTCACTCTGTCACCCAGGCTGGAGTGTGGTGGCATGCTCACGGGCACCCCAGCATCGACCTGCTGGGCTCTGGTGATCCTTCTGCCTCAGCCTTCCAAGTAGATGGAATTACAAGCACATGCTACCATGCCTAGCTAATTTTTTGTTGTTGTTGTTGTAGAGATGAGGTCTCGCCAAGTTGCCCAGGCTGGTCTTGAACTCGCAGACTCAGGCAATCCACTCACCTCGGCCTCGCAAAGTGTTGGGATTATACGAAGCCCAGTCGTGATTGGGTTTTCATGCTCATATGTAAGATATGTGTCCCTCAAACCTTGTTATGATGTTGGTACATTTCCCATCTGATGTGAACTCAGAGGAAGAAAAAAGAATAATAAAAAATAAATTTTGACTGGGCATGATGGTTCACACCTACAATCCTAGCAATTTGGGAAGCCGAGGTTAGAGGACTGCCTGAGCCCATGGTTTCAAGACCAGCCTGGGCAACTTGGGAAGACCTCATCTCTACAACAAATCAAAAAAATTAGCCAGGCATGATGGCGTGTGCCTATAGTTCCAGCTACTTGGAAGGCAGAGGCAGAAGGATCACATGAGCCCAGCAGGTCAAGGCTGTGGTAGCCGTGAGCATGCCACTGCACACCAGACTGGGCAACAGAGTGAGACTCCAATTCTAAAGCAAAATGAAATGAAATAATGAAATAAAATAAAATAAATTTTTTAAAGTCAATGCAATCTTGGTTACACAGCCAAAGATATAATATTATCCTCAACACAGATGCCACATACCATGAAACAATCCACTTAACTGCCCATGTGACAGTCTCATTTTTTGTCTCGCATTTAAAGCTCTAAATGTAAAAGTAAATGTTTGGGTTAAAAAAAAAGAATCATTCAAGTCCATTTCAAAAGAAACCATGGTTAACCTGTTAAGTCTATTGTGTAAGAAATAATAACAACAAGATTAACAAAACCAAAATGTATGATTTATAATGGTCTATTGCATTCAGTACCACATTTTCTCCCCAAACAATTCCATTTTACACATGAATAAATTGAAACTTTTAAAAGAGAATCAATAGCACGGTCAGATTTATAATTAATAAACGGTGGAGTCAGCGTTTGACACTAAGCTTTTCCAACCTCAAAGCCTCTTTAGAGTTCATTCTTCCTAACTTGGTGTTTCCCAGGCTTTTACATGACTACACAGACAAGTACAACTGTTGCCAAAATTTTCTTTTGCTGAGTAGAAATACTGGGGAAAAAAGTTACCACCTCCTATCAACACTGTTTAAAAAGATATAATATGATGACACCACATAAGAAGAAAGGGCAAAATCTAAGAATAAGCTAATTCTCTTCCTGCCCCCCAAAAAACTGATCCCTTCCCCCATTATTTCCCCCCAGAATATTGAAAAAAAAACGGAAATACTAGTCAATACACAGAACAGGATCCAAAACATTGTACTTTTGCTTATTTCTATAGGTCCTTTTCTTTCCCCATCCTGTTATCTTTACATTCCCTCATAATGTTGCTTTTCTAAGTTGTCAAAATAGGAAACTGAGGCACATTCACCGAGAGCATGGGGTTGAAAAGCACTCAAGGGCATTTTAAAGGCAAACCCCATTCAGTGGTTCTGGAGTCATGAAAGCTGACAGACCACGGCACTATGGTCGCTTGGAAGGGAGAGCAGGGGATGGAGACTATGCTGAAGGGTAAGAGTTCATGCAGGGAGTGAGGCAATGGTGGTAGTGCAGACAGGTCACCTTCACTTTTGCCATTCTGGTCACCATAGATCCTTCTAGGCCAAAGACAAAAGTACAGACTAAGAACCAAGTCGGGGAGGCTCTCAAGGAGAAGACAATAGACCCCAAATGGTCAGAAGTCAACACAGCAGCAGAGAGGAGAGATGGCATGGTGGACACTGTGGTGTATACCAGGCCCTCTTATAGGATCTATCCCAGCTGCTGGGGAGGCCATCAAGCACCCTGAGCGACTGTGCCATCTTGCCAAAGCTCATGCTGCTCTAGGCAGCCGACAACCTCCACTGACTGGGCAATAAGGGAGAATAAGTGACCGATGGGAGACCACTCTGAAGGACCACTTAGCTCAGACTCCCCATGAGGTTTGCTGAGGCTGTCTTCAGCTTCCTCTGCAGTTTGGCTTCTGTGTTCACCCAGTTCTGCTTTCCTTCCTTTCACAGCTATTGATCCCTAGCAAATTCCTTAGTAATCATCCTGCTTGAGATACTGTCTCAGAGTCTGCCCTCTAGGAAACCAATGTGTTGCAGATGAAAACGTTCCTATGACCTAGGAAGCCATAAAAAAAAAAAAAAAAATCTAGCCAGGAGTGACGGTTTACACCTGTAATACCAGCAATTTGGGAGGCTGAGGTGAGAGGATTGCCCGCGCCCAGGGTTCAAGACCATCCTGGGCAACTTGGTGAGACCTTGTCTCTACAAAAAAAGTCAAAAAAATAATTAGCAGGGCATGGTGCTGTGCACCTGTAATTCCAGCTACTTGAAAGACTGAGGTGGAAGGATCACCTGAACCCAGCAGGTCGAGGCTGCGGTGGTCATGAGCCTGGGCGACAGAGTGAGATCCTACTCAAAAAAAAAAATCTATGTAGGTGGGAGGTACACAAGTTAGGAAGTGATTGCATTAGACACAGTCTAAGGGTGTGTGTGTATGTTTGGAGTAGGAATGAGAATTCATGAAAACACCTAAGGGATTCTCCACATATGCTTAGACCCTAGAGAAGCCTACTTCTCACCACACCAAAACTTGGAAACTTTCACTGATGGTTCCCACACATTGAATTATTTCTCTATTTCATCAAGAAAAAAATATTGCAGCTATCCTGATGTTAAAAAAGACAAATCAGTGTTTTAAAAGACAAACCATTAATTTTTTCCAGTCTCCACATTTTCTGTACTTCTGAATCAGAACTCTCCAGACTAAAGTCAAAGGGTGGGCCATGGATGGGTTCATCAGGATCAACAGCAACAATCTCCACAGACGACATGACAGGTTTGCAGATGACCACTGTCTGTTTAGGTATGAATGGGCCATTGTCATTCACGTCTTCCAGTATAATTCCCAGTGTCCCAGTACATGTTCTCCCAGCTAGAAAAATGAAAATAAAAATATAATTTTTAAGATTTTGAATTTTCACCAGGAAATTATATATTGAAAACATTTTAAAAGTATGTATTAAGTGCTTATAACATGAATTACAATGACAAGCAGTCACAGGCTTTGTCCTCAGGGACTGTTAACGGAAAAATAGTAGTACTCTCCAATGAGTTGTACAGACAATTTGTGCCATTGAGATGTGTCCACCCATTCACGGAATCACTACAATAAACGTGAATATAAAACAATTTTTTTTAAATTTTGGAATTGTGGGGTACAAGTGAAGATCTACTACATAAGTAATTTGCATACAGTCGAAGTTTGAGGGCCATCTGGCAGGCCCTCTCTCCCCTGATAACCAGTGTATTACCATTGCCCTCCATTCCTCCTTCTGTCCTCCCTCCCCTAACAGTGTCTAGTGCCTGTCAGTCTCACCCTTGTGTTCATAATCATGAACATTTGTACGGAGATAAGGTTTGACTGATTTCTAAAAGAAGGGAAGAAAGTATGAACAAAGACACTTCTGGTATATTTAAAAGCACAAAAAAATTCAAGGAGGTGGGAACACATGTTACACACAAACATAAACTGGAGAAAATAAAAGGGAAGGTAAACAGGTGGAAACAGACACTGGAGGAAAGGACTATGGGTCTTTGAATGCCAGACTAGGGTACTTAGTGCTTGAGATCTATTTATATCTATAGGATTTAAGGATTTGGAGCAAAGAAATGCTCACAGTCACTGCAGCCTTGACCTACTGGTCTCAGGTGATTCTTCCGCCTCAGGCTTCCAAGTAGCTGGAACTACAGATACATGCCACCACGCCCAGTTAACTTTTTGATTTATTGCAGAGATAATGTCTCACCAGGCTGGTCTCGAACCCGTGGGCTCAGGCAGTCCTCTCACCTCGGCCTCCCAAAGTGCTGGGATTATAGGCATGAGCCCAGCTGGCTAACTACTCTGTCTAAGGCACCGTGTTAGCAAATCTGAGGCACTCAAAGATGAAGCAGTCATGGGTCCATCCACGTCACAGATTATTAATACAGTTATGAAACCCAAAGCTAAACACAAACCTAGGTGTTTTGTCTCTAAATTACTTATTCCTTCTGCTTAATAAGGAGGCATGGATGCTAGCACTGGAGAAGAGAAAGAAAAAAATCTGTGCCACCCACTGCCTGGGGCTCTGTCTTATATGAAGATGCAATCTAGGGAAATTGGGAGACCCAATAGCCCTGTAGTCACACCTCGACCAGGGCACCTGTGTATAGTGACTCAGCCTGTGACAATGCCAGCGCTATTACGGGTCAGGAACACTAGGCCACCAGGTTAAGAACTGGTTATAAACCATGGGCCACAGAGAAGGAACAGGTGGAGGCAATCCTAAGACTTCTAGTTAGAATGGGGTAAAGTGGGAGAGAGGAAAAAGCCAAAAGCAGAAAGCAAACCAAACACTTCCCATATAATATGTCTGTAAATTAAAATTCTCAAATGAGCAAGATTAATGCTAAGAAGAAAAGTCAACAAAAGCCAGTCAAAAGGCTAATTCACTCTATGAAAGACATCTGGTATATTTAGACGCTTCAGAGACAAAAAGAAAAGAAACGAATTAAACAAGGATGAAATACCAACATTCATCTAATAGGGACTCTAGAAAAAAGATGGCAGAATGGCAAAGGAGTTGTTGAAAATATTCCAGAATTAAAGAAAAATATGATTCTTTAGATTGAAAGTATAATCTGACTGCAGTGCTAGATAAATAAAGATAAATTATCAGCACACACATTGTAGTAAAACTGTAGAACTCAACTTAGAGAGATGGAAAAGCTATCTGGACATATTGCCCACAAAAGGACAATACCTAGACTGACAGATGAATATACATTAACAAGAAGAGATACCAGAAGATAACAGAGTAATATCTGCACAGTACCGAAAGAAAGAAGCTGTTGATTCCGAATTTTAAACTAAGTTGAAATATCAATTATGGATGAGGTCAATATTAAGATATTTTTCAAAACAAAATGGGGAGGGTTTAAAACCCATATCCATACCATCGTTGAAAAAAATAGCAAAGGAGGGTGCAGTGGCTCATGCCTGAAATCTCAACTACTCAGGAAACTGAGGCAGGAATATCACTTGAGGCCTTGTAGTTTGAGGTCTTAGAGCTATAATTGTACCATCGTACTCCAGCAAGAGAATGAGACCAGAGAGAGAGAGAGAGAGAGAGAGAACAAAGAAAGAGAGAGAAAAAGAAAGAAAGAAGAGAGAGAGAAAGAACGGAAGAGGGAAGAAGGAAGGAAGGAAGGAAGAACTGTTTAGAAGAGAAAAAGGTAGCAAAATCAGAAAACATGTGGGAATCTGTGGGAAAGTTTAGACATAGAAGAGAGTTACAAAAAGAGGAGAAAATTGCTGTGGAGATTTAGGAGGGTAGGAAGTGAACATGGGCCCAAGACATAGTGCTCATGCGGAGAGACCATTTTTCATCAGGAAGCAGTATGGAGGGCCCAAACGAAACAAGCCAATACAGATTTTAGAAAAAGGTTTTTCTGAAATATGGCATGCTTTGTGTATGATCTCAGTTCATTCGGTTTATAAAATAAAAGACATGGAATTACCAATTCACAAGTTCCTCACTGGGAGGCAATACAGTGACTCCCACCCTATTCAAAAGAATTGAATGGAAAGACACCAGGACACACTTATCCTCTACCACAAGGATGACTAGCAGTGCCTCATCTCAACTTTAAGAAAATATTTGATCGCTCAATTATTGACCTCCTCTGCAAACAGAGGCAAATGGAGAATAAAACTGTCGTCAAGATCTCTAATTTCAGACAGTAATTATTATCTCATCTATCAATAAGCCATTTCCCAAGTGCTGCTAAAAATGTAAAAATAATACATTTGATTTTCATTTTATTTTTCTTCTTTTCATTTGTATTTGACTAAAAAGTATTTCTTGGTAAAGAGGCATGAGAAACTGAGGCCTTAAAGACAGTCTTTTTTTTTTTTTGAGTTAGAGTCTCACTTTGTCGCCCAGGCAGGCTCATGGCCACCGCAGCCTCGACCTGCTGGCTAATCCTTCTGCCACAGCCTTCCAAGTAGCTGGAACCACAGGCATGTGCTACCACACCCAGCTAAGTTTTGGATTTATTGCAAAGACAAGGTCTCGCCATGTTGCTCAGACTGGTCTCGAAGCTCTGGGCTCAGGCAATCCTCTAGCCTCCCCAAGTGCTGGGATTATAGGCATGAGTCACCATGCCCGGCCAAGACAGTCTTCAACTGGTTGAAGATAAATCATTAATGATTACAAGATTACCAATTCAATAAATAAATGAGTCATTCTTCATTAATTTAGAGATCATTGGAATGCCAAAATCGTCTTCCAAAACCACTTCAAAATTCTAATTTTGCAAGCTATAGCACAATAATTTTTGTTTACCACAGTGAGTATTTTTATTTTACAAAGTTTAACTTCCTGCTATGGTAAAATTACATTTTATGCAGTAAATTAGTCTCATATATAATCACTATACTCACATTTTTTTCTCAATTATAGGATGTACAGAACATAATTTTACATTTTATATATGAACTCATAATGTTTGTCTAATCTTTTTAAAGCACCATTAAAATCAGCATTTTATCAGAATTCTAGCTCCCAAATTTTTACATTTTATATGACTATATGAATTCATAGTGTTTGTCTAATTTTATAATCTGTTATTAATTATGACTTTATTTTTATATAATGTCTTTAATCAAAATTCTAGCCCCCAAGTATACTGTTAGTTTTCTTTAAAAAGTTATAGCTGACTTTCCAGATGTGAACTAAATGGAAGTATGTTCTTCCAATAATGGACTTTCCTGCCAATGTGAATATTTTAAGAGAATTGAATAGATAAATTGAAACTAAATTTTCAAAAGTATTTTTTCAAATTTTAATAATTTAACTTTAATAAATTATGGTTTCAAGTGTTTCTATGACTAAATTATTTTATAATAATTATAAATTATTTTATAATTGCATCTAAAACAATATACTATTAGAAAGCAGACTTGGTTTAATAAATTGCAAAGCTCTCAATTGTTTTATACTTCATTCTAGGGAGAAATGAAAACTGAGCGTGTATGCAGCTGGCTTAAAAACAAAATTCTTACCTTGGTCTGATGCAAGGACTGTAATATTATATATACCATTTCTGATGGTTTCTGCCTCTCTATCCAGGTTTCTGAAAACTTGGATTGACCCTGAATTTTCATCAACAATGACCCACCCTTTTGGATCATTTAATTTCTTATACCTGTTAGTCATGATGAATTAAAACAATAAAAAGCATTATAAGTCAAATTAGAATACTAATATCAAATAAGTTATAAATTGTAAAGACAGTACATTTGGAGTTAACTAAAATAGAATCATAGATACCTTATGCCACTGCTACCTCTCGTTTCTGGGTCATATGCTTTATATCCATTGCTTTTTGTTCCCACTGGTGCGTTTTCTTTAATTCGAACAGTTTGTGTTGGAGGGCTACACTCGGGGCCCTCATCCTGATTTTTTACATTAACGGTGACTGTGACTGTGCTCATGGTTGACCTTGAACTAGCCTCCCTGGAATACGGAGCTTCATTAACAACACCAATTTGCAGGGTCACCTGTTGTTTTTCTTCATAATTCAATGGCTACAACAACACATTGTTGAAAATTAGATCAACTCATTGAATATCTGGCAATACCAAATAGTATATAACTTATTAAATTTGGAAATAGGTAAGTGCTATATTGGAAACAGTCATGAGAAACTAAACATATATCCAGAAACCTGGTGATAAAGACAGGGTAATTCCACCACCAACTCAGCGTTTGGATGAGCTGGTAAATTGTTATTTGTACCTGACTTGAGGTAGAAAAAGTGAGTCAAATTTTTAAAAGTGTTTTTAGGAGGTGAGAGACTAGAACATAGAAAGCTTATGGGCTTTCTTCACTCCCCCCCCCCCACTTTGTCTCTTCCATTCCAGTTATTTTCTTACAAACTGAATTTCCTCACAAAATGCCAAGTTTGATAAAAAGGTTTTGTTTTATTTTGCCTCGTATGTAGTTGTAATGAGAATTAGTGAAGTCATGTCTTAGAAGACAGAAATTTTTTTCAGATCTTATACTTCACAGACATTCATTTCCTTCTTAGAATACTAATGATTAGAGCAGAGGTTGGGTAAAGAAAGAGAAAAGACTTAAAGAATATTTCTTTGCTGGTTTGAAACAGAAATCAATCCACAAATCGCAGCTGATTTTCATCATTGTGAGAAAAAAGGATTCATCATTTTTAATCCATGTACCTTGTAAGTATATAAAAAAGAAACTGCATAGATCCAAGATACGGTCATGTTCTAGTTTAAAATGCAGTAGGAATCCTATAACTTTTTCCAACGCCAAAGGATTCCGGATTGCTTTACGCGCTAGCTCTGGTTCCTGAATTAGCAGTAAGTTCTTCTCAGATGTTGTAGAACAACATTAGAAAGAAGTTTTAGGAGTATTTACCATTTGAATGGTTGAGGATTTTCAATCAGAACAGTTAGCATTCTGAATCTGGATGCTAAAGATGTTATACACACTCAATATAGATTAACAGACTTAGAAATCACCTAAGGGTCTGACCAGGAGCAACTCGTTATTTGGGAAATTCAGTAAATAAGTAGCCTTGACCCAGACACAAAAAAAATGGACTAGGAAAGTTTGGCACAATCCCATTGGCATCAAAGTTGTGCTAGTTTTTGAATTGTTAAGAGATACTAGTTACTAACTGAACACACACATATATAATATAGTTTTTAAAAATCATGCCTTGACAAAAGTTTACCAAAAAGGAATATATTCTTTCCATTATAGAGAGAACATAGCATTTACTTTTACTTGGGTATCTATTTTATATCTGTATTTATCAGAATTCCTTTCTTTCCATGAAACTCTAGTATGCTCATCTACGAAATTACAAATAGCAAACAACTAATTTACTAATTAACTTTTACCTTAACTACACACAGGACTCCTTCATTGGTTTTGGGATCTGTTACAATTTTAAAATTTCCATTTTCATTGCCTTTTAAAATGGTATAATTAGCTCTCCAATTTGCAGTATTCACTAAATCCTTATCCTCAACGGAAACACGTAAGATTTCCACGTCAGCTGTATTTTCTTCCACTGATGTCACATACTTAAAGCAATAAAAACAAAAGGTTTTATTAGTAACTCTCACAAAAATAGAACACCAGGCAAAGTAAGTCCTAGTCTTTTAATTTCCGAAGTACTATGTTTACATGACTTTAAACCCTAACACCAAACGACTGGTATGTCTTTGAGGCTTCTTCATCTGCAATCATGAGACATGGATAGAGATGTGCATATTGAATAATTAACACTGGGCTATACATTTTTCCTTAATATCATATACTTACGGAAGCACGGGTAAATGTTGGCATGTTGTCATTCACATCTTCAATATTGATGACACAAGTTGAAGTTGTCTGCAAACCAAAATATTGACCATCCATGTCTTGTACTTTTATTTTCAACTGGTATTTATCAATTAACTGAAAACAAAGAAACAACTTAATTATGGAGTGAAAGCGACATTATACATGATATCTTAATTTACACTCTAATTTTCTTTGCATTAATAATTTAAGGAGTATATTATTAAATTTCATAACAACCATGTATTAGAAGAACTTCCTCACACTAGTAATTTTTAATTATTTATGAAAATCGAATAGTTTCTCAAATTTAAAGTGCTATTAAATCATGGAATATGGAATCAATTGGTTTTATATTTATTCAAAAGAAAGAGAAAACCTACAGCCATAAGTACATTTAAAACTGCCTGTTAATCAAAATCTTTATCTCCTATCCATAGTACAATCTTATGTACAAAAAAACATAGCAGTGACACTAGTCTTTTTACAAAACAATAATAAAATATCTTTCTGAAAAAGTTTTTAAAGATTTACTTTATATTTATAAAAAAGATCATTAAATTAATATGAAAATAAAGGTCTGGGGCTACATAACTTTTTTCCAGGGAAAATAGAATCTGGCTCCTAGGGCTTCGCATTCACCTGCGATCACAGTAGAAGACACATCACTATTTTTTTTTAAATGCGTTTCTCTTCATAACATGCTTATTTATCACAAGTGATTGAGACATGGAAGGATTAAAAGGATTTGGGTTGTATTTCTAACTCCAAAATAACAAATGCAATCTTGGACAGTTGCAAAAAATTCTTATTTCCTAGGTTCTCCTCCAATAAAATTATGATTATGATGATCTTTCCTACCTTGTTCACCTCTTTTCTTTTCTATTCTTTTCTTTTGTGAGCTGTAGTCTCACTCTGTTTGCCCAGACTGGAGTGCAGTGGCACGCTCCCGGCCACTGCAGCCTTGACCTGCTGGGCTCCAGCGATCCTTCCGCCTCAGCCTTACAAGTAGTCGGAACTATAAGCGCGCACTACAACGCCTGGCTAATTTTTGGTTTATTGTAGAGACGAGGTCTCACCAAGTTGCCCGGGTGGGTCTCGAACCCACAGGCTCAGGCAATCCACTGGCTTTGGCCTCCCAAAGTGCCGGGATTACAGGCTGAGTCACCGAGCCCGACCCATCTCTTTTCACAAGACAAAATAATATGTGAAAATCTATCCTACCTTTCTACCTACAACATTCACCCTTCTCTTACAGAGATTTTTCCCTTAATTCTATCACCTCTTAAATTTTCATGTCCTCACAAGAGGACAAGATTACCTAAAATAAAAGTTTCTCTTGATCTCTGTTCCCACACATAATTTTCTTGATTTACTCCCCCCTTCATAACCAATTACATGTGTAGACTTGAAAAAGAATGGTCTTATTTCAATAAAAAATTGGTAAACTTCATGTTATAATACTTTCAAGAGGGAATACATAATTTGTAGTGAACTAAAATTTATTAGAAATTATCTGTTGACTAACTAAAAATAAAGTTTTATTACCCTTTATTTAATAGTAGTAACTTGTAACATCTTCTGATGAAAGAGAAATTCTGATGTTTAAAAGGATTAAAAGGTTGTAGGCAAGATGAAAAACTGGAATCCTGGGGCCAAAAAGTTACACAGAGCATTATCGGATAAACATACCTTCATGGGTCAACTGCTTCTATCAGAAAGATCTAGTCAAGGAAAAGTAACTGGGTAATCATTTGATTTGTGAGCAGAACAAGCTGTTGAGTTGTTGTTTTCCATAGAACACCATTTTTGCAAGAAAGACACCTATTGTCATTCTGACTAGAGTATTTGAAAAACATAATGTGAATCTGTCACTTCAAGGAAAACAACTATTTGTTGCCAATAATAAACTGGAATTTTCAAGCAGAAATGAGAATTTTGAAAAATTTTTACCAACTAATGAGAAATCAATGGAGGTCGAGAGGTGATCTTTTTGATACTATCTATGAAATGTGTCAATATTTGGAAGATCTTCCAATATTTTCCAAATGACCAATGTATGTTGCTATGAAAATCATATATTGATAAAATATCAACTCACAGTACAAGACAGACCAATGAATTTTAATGTAACAAAGTACAAGGGTTATAAGACTTGAGTTCACATTGCAAAAAACATTTAGGAAGTTACCACTTGTCAAGTTTTGGTGTGGTATCAAACAAGAACACCCATTATAACTGAAAACTACCATTAAAACACTCCTTTCTTTAAATCAAGTCAGATTTTTAAAAATATTCTTTAGCTAGCACTACATATTGTATCAGATTAAATGCAAAAAGAGATATGAGAACCCATCTCTCTCACATTAAGCCAGATATTAATCGATTTGGAAAAATGCATAACAACTCCACTCTTCCACTACAAATTTATTGTTTTACAAAATGTATGTACTGATTTTTAATAAACATTTGATTTATGTAATTGCAATGCATTTTTGTTATTTTAAATGGGTAAATTAATACACACTTTTAACTTTTCTGTTTTTTGGTTTTTTTTTTTGAGTTGGAGTCTCACTCTGTCGCCCAGACTGGAGTGCAGTG